ATTATTATTATAGATGTTTTAAGGCTGTAAAACCCCTCACTACACACTTTATACACTTTTCTTAGACAGGCATGAACATTTTCACTTTTTCCTCTTGTTTAAACACTCTCAAACTTAAAACCTTTGTAGAAAAATAAGTCCAGTATTATAGAATGAAACCAACGGCCCCTGCAGGTGCCTTTGACAGTGCAAAACGTTTCATTGATATTATGTTTGTAAGTTTTCTCCACAGCAAACAAAGTACAGCACTTTAGTCACACTGCTATGAAATTGAATATTTATGTAAATTTGACAAGTTTTCACCAGCAGGTGGCAGCACATTACTGGAAAGTCTTAATGTAATGTAGCTACCAACCCATCTCTTCAAGTAGAGAAAAAGTCACCATTTGCCCTGACTTAAGCAAATCACATACAGGAATTGTTTTTGTATGAAAAGTTTCTCACAAAAAGCTACCTTAGCAAACATATATGAACTGGTAGAAACAGGAAGCAGTCTCATTAAAAAAACAAAACAAAAAACGACAAACCCTGTAAAGCTGCTCTGAAAGCTGCTCCAGTGTTATTTTCTCCTGAACGGAGCATGGTGTTCTGGCGGATCTAGTGGTGACGACGGGGCCACCAACCTGTCCCTTTGACTAGAAGGCCAGTACTTCCTCTGACTCTCCATCATATTTCCTACATCTTTCAGGGCAGAGAGCATGCTACATTGAGTCACTGCACCATTTTATGGCACAAAGTGGTATTACATGAAAGTACTGCTGGGCCCTATTTCAGCTTATATATCCTCTTTAAGTGTTTTGGGCAGTAAGATTCACTGGTTACTTCTCGGGATTTTGTTCATATTCTGTAGCTATAGTTCATGTTGAAAGTAAAACAGAGTAATTTATGAAGTTTGAACCAATAAGAAAAGCTTGAGATATCTTCCTGTTTACTGCAGCTGCTCCACGGGATGGTGGTGGATACATCGGTAGTCTTTCCTCACCGCCTGGGCCCTCCTCACAAACTGACCCTCAACAAGCTCACAGCTGAATACCTCAGAAGGATCATTCAAGAGAGTGGTGGGTTACCACTATGCAAATGGTTTATCTGTTACTATAATATCATTACATTCCAAATAAAGATGACTTATTAATATGACTTATAACATTAAATGCCACAGACTCATGCAGCAGATATCAGATTTATTGCTGAAGATACTGACTTCAGTTGAATAAGCTTTTTTTTTTTTTTTTTT